ATCATAGGTTATAAAATAAAGCAGGAATTGATTTTCTTTGGTCTTGACGGGACTTCTTCTGATCTCTTTTTATGTCGTTTTGCACTGTTAAGCTACAGATTTCTTCACTGTAAAAGGCATGGTTTTTGCTTGAGAGTATTGTTTTGGGTGTCAGAAACATGCCATTATTTGGTGAATAAACAGGAAATTTTCGAAAGTTTAAGGTGGCTCTGAACCCCAGCTACATATTTTTTTAAAAAGTTAACTTAAAACTACGTCTCATCATGCTTATCAAAATTTGATAATATAAGTAAATTTCACCATACCGTTTTTGAATTATAAGCCCCTAAAACTATAATTAAAGGTGTTGTTTTTAGCAGGTTATACTGTTGCTATGGTAACCTATTGTGTCATGAAAATGACACCAACGTGTTCACCAATGATTGGGTAATTTTGTGATACCATGAATATAGCATCAACTGATAAAGAACGGTTATACTGACCCATCAAAATCAAAGTCTTGGAAAGTGCTGGAAAACTGTTTTGAGCCACCTTAATCGTATAGACTGATTGATTCATCCCTCAAACTCGATGTTAATTCGTTTGTTTTATTCCCCTAAGCCTTAGCCCCTTGTTAGAATTCATTTATTTATTTATTTATTTATTTATTTAAAGTAACAGATCTTTAACAAATTACACGTACCATAAATTAAAAATTACAAATTACAATAACAAAGTACTCTGCTATGGCTCCTCCGATACTACAATGTACATTTACACCAGGTGTTACTTACTTACATTAGGAAAACGAATGAAATAAAGTAATTAATTAATTCTGACAACACACATTGGCTACAATTACATCAAACAGGATACAAAACAAGAAAGAAAAAAGAGACAGAAAAAAAATAAAAGGAGAGGAAAACTTAACTATACAAAATAAACAAAAAAGCAAACAAACAACTAATAGCGCGGGGAAGGGGGAGGAAGAACGATTTCTAGTCTTGATTTAATACAGTTAAAAGTAGCTCAGTCTGTAAAGTTTGTGAAGAGCATAGTCACGTTACGAGTAGTTTTTCGGTGTTAATTTACAAATTTTCAACTTTGTATTTATAATTGATTCTAGTAATAAATTCGGTTAGTACAAGTGAACTGTTGTTTAGTTTACTTACATACACATAGAATTTCATGAAAAGGAGGGTGTAATTGAATTTTCTCACTAGCTCCATGTATGTTGGGTGCTTAAAGGTGGCGAAAAGCGTTTCTTTTGTACCTGGTTGAAAATTGGAACCATTCTGAGTGTTAAACCAATTAATGACTTTGCATGTGAAGATTTTTGTAAATTCGCAGTCGACAAAGGTGTGATTTATGGAGTCTGGCTCACCACAATAGATGCAGTCACTATCTGTGCATGTATTTGTTCCATATCTGAAGAGTTCTTTCTTTGTAATGACAATCCTATGAATAATTTGAATTGAAATTCTTTCAACTTATTTTCTTTGCATGTTTTTGTAGCCATTTTAAAAACATCTGTCTGATTCTCTGTGTCTATTGAAACATCTCTTTTCCATCTTTCCGGGTCAGTATGAGGTGATTGGTGTTTCTTAACGAGAAGTAGGCGATAATAGTCTCTTGCCCTAAACGTTTCAAAATTGATTTGACTAGTTTCGTTCAGTAAAAAAGATTTCAGTTTTCTCTGTAATGAAGATCGAATTTTGCCCAAGGACTCGCGCTCTGTTCTTCAAGCGCACAGAAATTGCACTCAAGATTTAATAGAACTGGAGAAAGTTTGTGTTACAATGATGTTTAGCTTGAAATTCTTGAAAAGTTAGGTATTGACCGTTTTTATTAAAAAGCTGTGGGATCGTGTGGATACCCTTGATAAACCATTCCCTTATGAATAACGGTTTCCCATCAACTACGATTTCTTTGTTATTAAAGAGAATGGTGTCGGTTCCTTGATCATAATTGTACAGAGTCTTGATTTCGTCAAATGCAATAAGTATGTTGTTAGAATTTTAATATTTCTGAAATTACCTATTTAATTATTTTGGTAGTTAGTAAATCATGGAAAATTCGAATTCCGAAATGACAGCCCATATTATCCAAACAAATGCTCGGTGCAATACATGTCCATATTTGTTTCGAGTTCAGTGAAATTGCTCCCGGCCTTGAGTTACCAAATAAAGAGGCATAAACACCACAACAACAAGCAAGATAACAACAATTCTATTCCGTCACCGCATTGAGGACTTCAGTGAGATAGCATTGCGCCTGCGCGAACTCAGTGTGTTGCCGCCTTTCCGAGTGAACAGAGGATTTTTTTTTTTGTCTCGTGAACATTTTCAGCAATAATTTGCTCTAAAGCACGTTAGAATGCCTGAAAACGACAAGGATACCGGTCAGAGGGAGTAAACATCTGGACAGAAAAAGGAAAGCAGCGATAGCTCTTGAAGTAAAAGTGCCCGAGGACATTGAAGTTCAATGTTGTGGAAAATGGCACCAAGATTGGTGCTTCTCCTTCTCAAGGTGAAGGACCTTCGACAGCTCTCTCAGCTGCCATGCAAGAAGGATTTGCAACACTGCCCGGAAATATGGCTAATGCCATTTCCAAGTCGGCTAAGGCCGACCTAGAGATATCCTATAACGAGGAAATTCAAGAGGAAGAGATTTCCTATGACGGAAGTTCAAGAGGAAGATATCCTTAGCTGCCATGCAAGAAGGATTTGCAAAAGTGTCCGGAAATATGGCTAAAGACATTTCCGAGGCTTTTAAGTCGGTTAAAGCCGACCGAGTAAGTTCAAGTGGAAGATATCCTCAATACGAGGGCAAGCCCCCGCGAAGTAGAAGCGGGAAGAGGCTAATGGCAAAAGCCAATAGTGTATAGTCACTATAGATTTGGCCGCGTCTGTTGGACAGTTGCTTGACACGTCCTATCCTCTCTATAATTTCGGTAAAAGCAAAGTGCTTAGCAGGAACATGATTTGCAAAAGGAGGAAACTGATCCGAAAGTGGACTCAGAACTGGCAAGCGTCATCCTACATTAATGAAAGACCGACTACCAGAGGGAAACCTCTCAGAAAAGATGAACAAATATCATCGCCTTGAGAATTGTGAAAGCCTGACAAAAGTATGTGTAAACCAGGCTGTATGGGATACTTTGAGCCCATCTGTACGTTCACAAGACGTTAAAATGCAAAAGGTACGAGCCTCTTTGTTTAAAGGCATACGTGCCTTGATAAGCTTGTTGAGCAAACAGTACTACTACCTGTGATGTCATGCATTACGTTTCCGTCGGATGATGACAGGTAAAACACCCACAAAGTGCTCGAATTAGGGCAGAATTACTGCACAGAGTAGACGAACGTAATTTACGAAAGATACAGGTTCAAAAATAGTCTACAAGAACCTGACGAGTCGATTGATGCCTACACAACAGCACTTCGCACTCTTGCCGAAACCTGTGAGTTTGACTCGTTAAAGGAAGACCTAATTTGCGATTGTTTAGTTTGTGGTGTCAGGGACAATAGTCTGAGGAAAAAGCTTCTCCAGGAACCGAAATTAACCTTGGATAAATATCTTGATAGCTGCCGAGCAGCCGAGCGACTAAATTGCAAATGAAACCCACGACAAACCAAAACAACGAATCAAGCGACGTCAACGCACTCAAATCGTCTTCTGAAAAGTCAAACGCCCGTATGGTTGACGAGTGCAAATTCTGTGGCAAGTGTCACGAAAGAAATAGAGAAAAGTGCCCCGCTTACGATTAAGTCTGCAAGAAGTGCAAGAAAGAGAATCACCGACGTCGCTAGTAAGTGCCATCTTCATGAGAAGAACACTAAGAAGAAACCAAAGGCTCCGAAGTCAGGCTGGAAGGAAACCTCTCGAAAGAAAGTGTTCCTTGTCGAAACCGATCTCTCATCGGAAGAGGAAATCTTATCTGTAGAGTTCTCCACCGAAGATGCTAATGTGAGTACTTCTGAAGTTATCAATTGTGACTGATTTTCCGAACAAGATCTATGCAGTTTTTGAGATACAAGGGAAACCCCTTAAGAATGCAGATTGGTGCATCGTGTAATGTCCTTCCAAAGAAATATCTTCCAGGAGTAGCAGAGATCCAGAAAACAAACAAGCTACTGACAACTTACAACAAGCAGCAAATCTCAGCATTTGGAACGGCAAGAGTGAGCATGCGTAATCCTAAGACAAGAAAGACGTATAACGCCGAGTTTGTTGTAATGGATAGTAACTACACGCCGTTAATAGGAGCTCACGGAGCACAACAAATGGGTCTTCTTGTGGTCCAACACCACAATATCCAGCTGGTGAGCAACAATGAAGCTCTCACCGTTTCTCAGAGTAGCTCCCTTACTACAGAGCAAGTGTTAACTGACTTTGGGGACATTTTCACTAGAACTTGGGAGAGCACGAGTTTTCTCCAAAGCAGATTTGAAAGATGGCTTTCTCCAGATAGAGTTAGATGACGAGTCCAGCCGACTCACTACCTTTCAGACACCACGGGGCCGACATCGTTGGTTAAGAATACCTTACGGAATCAGCCCTGCGCCTGAATACTTCCAGCAGGAGCTTGATCAAAACTTGCAAGGATTGCCTGGCATCTATAGAATAGCAGATGATCTAATTACTGATCAGGGTGACACTAAGGAAGAAGCAGATAAGGATCATGATGCAAACTTTGTACGTTTATTTCAAAGATGCAGAGAGAGGAACATCAAATTAAACATAGCAAAGTTCGACTTCAAATGCCTACAAATGACATTCATTGGGCATCTGTTAAGCAGTGAAGGAGTCAAACCTGACCCTGGGAAGATTGATGCCATAGTGAACATGGAAACTCCCTTTGATGTCCAGTGTGTGCTCGTCCCATTGGCATGGTGAAGTACCTTTCGAAGTTCCTCAATAACTTGTCTGAGTTATGTCAGCCTCTCCGCAAGCTCACGCACAGGGACGCTGAGTAGCAGTGGACCCAGGAACAAGAACATGCCTTTCAGTTTCTCAAAATGGCCGTTGCACAAGCCCCAGTCCTCAAGTATTTCAGTCCACAAGCCCAAACTGAAGAACAAGGTGATGCATCGCAAAACGGCCTCGGATTTGTTTTATTGCAAGAGAGTCAACCAGTTACATATACAAGCAACAGCTGAAGAAAACCATCATCAGTGGATGGCCTGACACGAAGAAGGAAGTCCCCACGTCTCCATCCGTGTTTCCTAGTTAGAGATGAGCTCTCAGCGCAGGATGGTTCAATCTTTAAAGGTCAGCGCTGTGTCATTCCCTTGAGCCTGCGCACAAAGATTAAAGAGAAGTTGCATGGGGCCCACACAAGAATTCAAAGTTGCCTCCGTCGAGCAAGAGAAACCGTGTATTGGCCAGGAATGAATTCTGACCTAACTGAACACATTTCGAAGTGCGACATCTGTTCATACTATCAGTCACGGCAAACCAAGCAAGGAAGCCTCTCATCTCTCATGAGGTTGCTGATCGACCTTGGCAAAAGATTGGTGCAGATGTTTTCACACTTGATGGCACAGACTACCTCTGTGTTGTTGACTACTATTCAAGTTACTTCCAAGTAGATAGACTAGAAACTAAGACCGCAAAGGGAATAGCTAAGATACTCCGCAAGCAGTTTTCGGTCCACGGAATCCCAAATCTGCTAATCAGCGACATGCCATTCAGTTCTCAAGAATTCAGAGAGTCTGCGGCCAGCTACGAGTTTGAAGTCATTACAAGTTCACCTGGCTATCCTCAAAGCAATGGCAAGGTTGCAAATGCCACCACGACAGCAAAATCGATCATGAAGAAAGGTAAACAAGCAGGCACAGACATCTACTTATCCCTGCTTGGCTGGAGAAACACCCCTTCTGAAGGAATGTCTAGCTCCCCCGCCCAAAGGATGTTTGGACGCAGAACAAGAACACTGCTTCTCACCACCAGTTACCTGTTAAAGCCAAAGGTCCAAGAAGATGAGAAGGAGAAACTTCTCAAGCAGAAGTCCAAACAAGCCAAGTATTACAATCAAAACACCAAGGAGCTCCCGCCTTTACAGACAGGAGAAGTCGTCCGAGTAGCCCCTAAACCAGGGGACAGCCGGAAAGCGGAAATGGTTTAAGGCACGGGTGGAAGACCAGGTTGATATCCGTTCTTACGAAGTCAGAAGAGAAGATGGTAGACTGTACAGAAGAAAACGTAGACACCTCCGCCAGTCTAAGGAACCTTAGCGAGTGTATATTCTGTTGCCTTAGATCAGATTCTGTCAACATCTGAGTGGAGTTCAGCCTCCTCATTTGCTAAGTTTGACAACTAACCTGTTGATGTTGATAACGATCTTGCGGAAAATATTTGAAATCTGTAGACTATGGGATTATTGTGTCATAGATACTCTGCAGACAAACTGTTGTGTTACAGAATATGGACTCTGTGTTGAAATTGTTACGTGTGTGCAGTGTGCTTTGAAGTCTCATGTAAGCCCTCAATGCGGTGACGGAGTAGAGTTTAAAAATTAAACGAGACTTACCTGTTAGTTGAAGTTTGATTGGAATTGTATCCGTCACCAAACATTGAGGGATTACATGCCCTCCCTTCTCAAGCCCTCACCTTTATTTTGAATAGGAGTTTCTCCACTCCACACATGATAAGTGCTTCAAAAAATGAGTTCGCGCAGGCGCAATGCTATCTTATGTAATCCCTAAATGCTTGGTGACGGATAGAATTCCAATCAAACTTCAACTTACAACTTTAACTTTAAATTCAGGGCCGTAGCCAGAAACCAATCATGACTGAGGCAGCGTCCAAGAAATGAGTATGACTGAGGCAATGTCTATGGTTTAATTCTCTTCCTGGGAATTTATGGTGTTTTTCATGACTGTAAACAATAAAAACGAAAAAGATTACTGAGGCAAGTGCCTCGGTTTGCCTGTTACTAGCTACGGCCTTGAAATTGTACACCAGTAACAATGCACGAGACCGGAGTAGGCTTTTTGTTTTATTATTCTGAGCAAGACATTTTAACTCAATCTCACGTTTACCGAGTCTTTCACTATGTTGCTGCAAAAAATGTGGGACCTTCAAAGGACCTTATCTTACTATTTACAAGTAAACGGACTGATAAAAAGAACTTGATCACATAAAAAAGCTAATTAATTGTTTTCAGAGAAAAAGAGTTCAAACTGGGAATTCGTCGGTCGCGAAACTGAAGTAAATTTAAAAGCAATGAAGCAAAAGTGACCGTAACTGATATACAAGGCCTAAAAGAGGGCTGGTGGAATTGTTGGGATAAAAATTCAACTGCTTTTGAAGTCAGTAATGCGGAAACTTGACAAGAGCAGTCACAGCTGTTACAATTTCATCCATCTCCTGAACTCCTGCAGAGGTAAAACAAACATTACTACAGCATGCTGCTTTACTTGCAAAAGGGCTAAAACAGATCGTTATTTACCACCTATTCCATAAAAAAGCTAACCACTTCAGTACATAGGCAAAGAAAAGAACCAAAAAAAAGTCTCTGGCGCACACGTCACGTTGAAGTGGACATAACCTGTGTTTTTAACTTTGTCACTTAAAATTGCACACATCACCAATTTCCAAAATAAAACTTGACTGAGATTTGTGTGTGATGTTTTCAGTTCTACACTCTGGCTATCCATTGCTGCTGATTGGAAGAGCCGACGGGTTCAGGTATCTAGATTAAGGAACACAGGCTCGTGTTTTGTATACAAAAGAATGGAAAGTAACATGCTGTCGTTAAAAAAAAAAAAATGAAAACGTAAAACGAGCGGTTCCGAACCGAAAGTGCGAAGTTATCAAGCTTCACTTAACGGCACCAATAAGCTAATAACTATAACTCTGCCCAATGATAAATGGGTCAACGGGTCGTGAACGACATAAAGATCGTGTTCATGAAAAATAGTGACTTGGATATAGTCAATAAGCGTTCTCCAAAAATAGGTTTATATTAATTGTGCTATCCAAATGCGTTTTCTTGTCCACCATTGAGAACGCAAAAGTTTATAACACCAAAACAATGGCAAATTCCCTCTATGAGATGTGCCTGTGCCTGTATGAGATGTGCCTGCAATTGAAGTTGTATTCACCATCTTAGACTGGATATTTGTTTTGCTGACTGCTACCATGATTCCCTACTGGCGTGTCATAGGGGGGAATTGGGCCATTCCTCTGGAAGAGAATGTCAATTTAATAAGCGATACATTCGGCCGAACTACCGATATTTCCATACCGCAGGCGACAGGGAGCACACAATCTTTTTGAATAGGATGGGAGTGAATAAAGGAATGAAAAGAATGAAGTTTACCCGTCTCCTGCTGTTGTCATCTTTTACGTGAACTTACAAAACTGCTACCCACTTGTCCTGCAAAACACTCACTCTTTTGATTCCGTTATTCACTCCCATCGTATTCAACAAGATTGTGTGCTTCCTGTGCGTAGATGAGAAAAATTTTAAACTTGTCCGCAGTGTTTTGTAGCGAGGTTTTGTTTCTTGACAAAATATTGTCAAAAATATATACATCTGAAGTGCGCGTTTTTGATCAGCAACTAGCATTTCGCTTACTTGAAGTATTTTTCCTAATATTCTAACCTTAATTGTACTCCGTCCTTCGGACTTTGCACTAAGAATGATAAAAGGCAAGTTATAATGACGATTCAGCCCCAGGGCGGGATCCAAAGTTGAAGAGATGCATCGGAGATGAAGTCTGTCACAAACCTTATGTTATTATTTCTGTGTCAACGTTTTGTTTTGGGACATCCCTTCGTTTGACGATTTTTCGCTCGGCAGTTCAACTTAAAATTTGACTACTTCCAATAAAGTTTGACAGCCATCTTCTATGCGAGCTGCCTGCAATTCAAGCATGTTTTGCTCTCAGCCTTACAAAGCAGAGATTTGCAGTTTCCTTCCGCTTTAAACCACCGCAAGAGATTATCAAGGTAAGGGAGTGAATCCCATATAAACCTTGTACCCAAGGTAATTCCTCTTAAGTTATTTTTAGCCATTGTACCCAGTTCTTCCAAGGATATTACTCGCGTGATACGTGGGCAGCCCAAGTGACTTTCTCGAAACCATCTGAGACGAAATGGCGGGAAATGTGGTGATAAGTTATTTTTTATGTTTCGATTTTCAAAAAGATTTTCAAGAGAGGTTTTCTCCACTCTCAGCCGTCTTTTTGTTCGGCTGGGCCTTCGTTTGCTTTGTCCTCGATTGGCTGTTCATTATTTTGCCGTTTGTTCGGTTTTAGGGAGTTTAATAAGCAAACCTCAATCGCAACGGTAACGAGCACACTGGCTGTTTATGCGTGCTTTGTAATTCTTTGTTAATTTCTTTGCCGTTCTCTACAAAACAACAACGTAAAATACCGCATTCTGCATATTGGAGAGAACGTGAACTACGCCGACCAATATTAAAAATTTCTTTTTCGAATTGTGATGCTGTCTTACATATTCTGTTTGGGATATTTCTGACAGTTTAGACAAACTGAATGAATCTAAATTCTAGCGAGATTCGTAACTTGAATATTAATTCGTTTTTTAATCGACGTTGTCTTTGGCGTTGTTGATGTTGTTGTTGTTGTTGTTGTTTTTCTGCTTGGGCGGCATCTGTCTGCACTTTCAACCATGTTTGTTCGGCTGCGTTGTGTTTGGGCGTTTGCTTGCTTTGCACTCGTTTGTCACCTTGCCGTTCATTCAGTTGTCATTGTTTGTGCAGGGGACATCTGTCTCTTATTTAAACTACTATTAAAGTTTTGAAATGTAGTAAAACATAGCGAGAGCCGAAGCTTCTTTGCTTGTAATTCAGATTAAAATATCAAAGAAGACATCTCCACAGCGTTGGAGGTTTTCCTTCGCTTTGAAACGAAAAGAAACGAAACATAACCAAATCCTTCACGAAAAAATCCACGGAACGCGCGAGTAACATCCTCGGAAGAATTGGGTACCATGTCTAAAAACAACAATATATACTAATAATACTGAATGTGTTGTCCGATTTGCCCTCGAAAGTGCTCAACAGTAATGGAGTTTCGTCTAAAGAAAGTAGACTGGACTAGTTCTCGTTCATTTTATTCGATTGACAGAACTGTTTCGTGGGAGTGCTTCCCACTCGTCAGGATCTAGATGACAACGTTAATTAGTTGGTTTATATAGAGTTCCCTTGAAGTCACACGTTCTTTCACAATACTAGGTGTTTTTCAGTAAGAATTTGTCTGAGAAACACCATTGTTGACAGAAATCGTGAAGGAGCAGGAGGTTGCAGGAGATTGGCAAAGACAACAACTGTAGCACTGTCCACCCTGACTTTCATGTCTGCCTGAGTCATTCAGTTCTGCAGCTGGTAACAAGGGACTCAAGACAGTTTCTATTACTTCGAATGCAGAGATGTGACCAACCTTGAAAGAAAAAAATATAGGAGATTGTCAGTTATAATCGCTGTGTACAAAATATCGTTCATGTATGCTAATAGAAACTGTTTGAAAACTTGTCATTGCTCTATCTCGGGAATTCCCGTTGCCGCGGGCCACGTTCCTCGAATCGTTGAAATGCAAAAAGATAGGCTAGAAAAACCCAGTGATCTCCTCAAGCAAAGAGAAAAAAGAAACGAAAGTATATTCTATATTTATAGTATATTCTACATTTATAAATACCAAACTCATTCATTGTGTGCTGATGTTAAGTTTGGAAGACTTGTGATAGCTTTTTCTTGCGAAAACCTTTGTAAACGACGTCCCCGTGGACCATGTGCTCAGAGTCATCAGATGGTAAAAATACTGTAAGACTATATGTGTAAATCTAAGAGATGTTCGCGAGAAACACTGAGCTGTTAATGGAATACACAGAATATTGGCCCAAATGACAATTAAAATTAATAATGTAAACAAGCAGACATTCTGCTTACCATGCGTCGGTCTTGCTCAGAATTTCCTTTCCTTCAAATTATGGGAACTGAATTGGGCAAAGTCGCTACCTCCACCTTTCCAGGTGAAAGCCACTTAATCCTCTTGGAAGTGATTAGAGTACCTGTCAAATATTCTATTTGCTTCCCTGTGAGCGTCCACAAATTGAATCCATTGATCACGTTCACTTCTCAACGACTGGCTCGAGAGAATGCAGTGAAATACCTACTGTTAAATTAGATACATCAACATTTCAGTAACTGGGCGCGAGTGCTGTACACATACCTGATCGTACCTTTGCTTCTTCGTATGCTTCGGCGGTATATCAGGCGAGTTTGGTCGAGCCATGGTTTGTACTTTGGCGAAACATAGTCAATGCAAACTGCCAATGGCGACCAAAAACGGTATGATTAAGAATTTACCGTACTCAAATTCGGCCAAGTGACCATGATATCGTGACCATATCAGGTCAGTGACTTGATATAGCAGGATTTCAGGACAGTAATACGGCTTCCAATTAGCTAATTGCGAATATGGATAGGGTAATGTTGAAAATTGACCAGAAGTCGTTTTTGTACTGAACTCGTTACGCTCGGTCTGTACTGCCACGACCTCGGACCAATATTTCCCAGTATGGCTCCAGCAGCCTAGGTTGGTTAGTAGTTTGTTATATGGCACTCCATGGAAGTTGCCAATTTCAAATTTGCCGGCTATCGAAAACAAAACATACACGGCTCAACGGTTCGTATGGCAAAATCCCGACCAAGTAAGAGCAAATCAGAACGCTCGGATTTACTTCAAGACTACCTTGGCATATACTAACATCACATATTGGCTAGTTCGGTGGATTTAACTGTCGACACTAAGATGTTGGCAACATTTATAGATTTGGTATGAGAAAGTGAGACATGTGCACTTGGGTGGTTGAGTATTTGACAAGCCTATTTGAACTTCATGGACGTCTTCGAATAATGGCAGCCGAAAAATTGCAAGAAAAACAGTTGAAAAACACGGTGTTCGTATGCTCGGACAGCAAAATGGTTTGGTCAGCTGAGTATGAGAACCACATACAGATTGAGAAAATGTAAAAAAAATGACACAAACATTTTAATCATAGTGGCACTTTAACTGATAGTTTGATTGTTATGCAACTGCTTGATACAAATCTCAGAAAAGCTACGAGAAAATTGGTGATGTGTCCGTAGAGTATCTGTCAAGTGTTGGTAGACTATCGGTCAAGTGTTGGTAGACAATCGGTTAAGTGTCGCTAGAATATGGGCCAAGTGTCGGAGAATATCGGTCAAGTATCAGTCGAATATTGCCAAGTGTCATGTGGCAAGACAACAATCACAGAACATGCTATCCCTTCTACTAGAAGCATGACACAAGGCGTCTGTTGTACTAAATAAAACAGTCTGTTTGGTCTATGTTACTGCTATGGAAAATACTCACTTAAAAGCCTCTTGAGTTCAGAAACCACTGACTGGAAAGCTGGAAAGAACTCATCATACTGATCGAGGCGTTTTATTATGCTGAAGAAGAAAAAGATGTCACCTAATTAATTACTATTACAGTGGAAGGTCTTGTAAGCGGCCACTAGAGGTGAAAGGGATAGATGGTCACTTACAAACACTGGGAAAGCAAAATATACCACCGTATTGAATGATTTTTTTTTGTTTTATTGCCTTAAGCAATGCCGCGATAATGGCCATAACCGCATACAGTACAGTCAGGCCCCAATTTAGAGTAATGCATTGTAATTCCAGTCACAAGCATACAAGTGGTGTTTCGAAATTTAACCTGTGTGCATGACGACGAAACAAACTCTGAAACATGGCGTTAATACACTTTAGAAAATACCCCAAAGAAAATACGCGCGCTGATTGGTTAAAAATTGTGTTTCTGTCACTCGATAGAAAAACAGAAAAGTTGTTGTAGTCAAGTTGTTCGTTATTTTCTTTGGGCTGTTTCTTAAAAAGATAGAAATCATTTTCTTTTCGTTTCTATCGAGTTATGTACAGGCCCGAAAATGATCCCATAACTGTAAATGATTCATGCAGACGATGCCGCAAAAATGTAGTCTATGGATAATTGTTATGAAACGCCATTAGGGTCAGAATTGGAGTACAAGTTATGTTAAAGCGTTTCGTATTTCATTTCCGGGTTCATTTGGCCACACCTTTGAATTATGTTCCAAAGTTTGGTTGAATTAAGTTCGGTTCTTTTGAATTATCTTCAGAAGTTTGGACTGCCCACTGAATAACATTAGTTTGGTTCGCCTAATCACCCTCATCTTCATCGCCCTTTTGCTGCATTTAATAATAATAATAATAACAATAACAATAACAATAACAATAACAATAACAATAACAATAACAATAACAATAACAATAACAATAACAATAACAATAATAATAGTAATAATAATAATATAAGTTTATTGGGCTCGTTAAACTTCTTCACTAAAATTTTACAGGATAATTATTTACAGCACAAAACTATGTACAATAACAATTGCATTAAAATTGTTAAAAAAGGAAGCAAAGTGTAGTTTACAGAAATGAATAAAATTGAGAAAACTTGAGAATTGGAATGGCTTGTCATAATAAAAATAAGCAATAAATAGCATGACAAAGTGAGATATTAACAAGACTAATTAGAGATTAAGGTGCGAACCAAATAAAAGAGTAAAAGTATTTAAGCTAAGAAAGGAGACTAATTAGTATGAAAGGGATAAATTTAGATGTTTGACCTGGGAGTTTAAAGACGGCTCCTTTGGGAGCAGCCGTCTTTAAATTCCTCCTCCTCCTCCTCCTCCTCCTCCTTTCTAATCATGGATATGTTGCGCAAGTGGAAGAATGCAGATTTGCACACGGCAGTAATATGAGGAATCATGGACATAGAATCATCAAATACACAACTAACAATCTCCTCACATTTGTGGTCCACCATATTGATCTGAACAGAACACTGGTAATATTTAGACTAAATTATTGATAGGGAGGGGAAATTTAATCGTCCTAGGACTACTCGTGAGTTACCTGCCGCGAGGCTCCAGTCCACTTGCCCAACATAATTCGAAGAAGCCGCATTCCGAAACAAATCCAAAAACTTACCAAAGCAATTATAAGCTAGATATTTCGAAGGTAAGTCTTAAGAGCCAAACATAATTTACAAACAGTTTAGTATTATTCAGTGATCAATTCAAACTTCCGACCATAATTCAAATGAGCTGAACATAATGCGACCAAATGTTGAAACATAATTTGTCCTCTTATTATGACCCTAATAACCCTTCATAGAATACTATATATTTTTCATTATCTGAAGTGAATTAACCACTTAGAATTTTTCCCTGGCTATTCACTACTTGCCTACTAGGTAGGCATGGGCTTCCATGGAAGCATACAAGATTTCTGAAATTATGAAGCATTTGCAAATATTAGATAAAATACAGTAAGCGCTTGAATTACTGCAGTGTCCTTAGGTAGATTTATTTACATACCGTAAGTGTAGAGCTATGGCTTTTGCACGTGCAAATTTTTTACTTTCAATCATCTCTGCCTCTTGGCAAAAGCTACACAAAAATGTAGTCAATTTACTCGACAGTTCTCGACAGTTCTCAACAGTTGGCGCCAAATTCGAGAATGTAATTAACATCCTCTGTTACAATACATCTCAGGAGACCCGATAAAAACATGTGAGGAAAAATCAAGCTAAACCACAAATTTCAAACAAAATGGACTCTATACATTTAAATCCACTGTCCAAATTCTAGAAATTCACAAATGAGGTCTTTTAAAGCCCTTAACCAATGCTTGTAGGATCGATTCTGGGTTTGAATAACAGAATTTCAGAGTACTAATTGGGCAATCTGATTTTCAACGTGATAGACTATTAATGGCAAGACATTCTTTTTTATTGTATATCGTCAGCTTACCCAGGCAGGTCATCGACCTTCAAGAGATGCTTAGCTTTGCTAAGTTTAGCTACTGCATTCACCACATCAGAAGCTTTGCAAGCTGGTTCTGGTAAAGAAGGTAAATACTATAGTGTTAGCCCAGCAGTGGTAGTCAATCGATCGATCGATCTACCCACCCACCCTACCTTTTTGTCTGGCTACGCGGTACGCGGTACGCAGTGAGTAATGAATGTTAGAGCAGATGTTAGCTTACAGCAAGATTCCCAAAAATGCTTTGTTGTGACGGTAGAGGACGGAACAGAGGCTACACTTGGAAAGTTACAACAAACAAAATAAACGGGCAATTGAGGCGAATGAAAGTCAAAATGCCAACACATAGAAGAAAGAAACTACATTACTCCTCACATCTGGTGGAACTTATTTGGCGTTACATCAACCGTGGAAGGTGAGAAAAACAAGTCCCTGTTTCTAGACTTATATGAAAAGCTAAAAGTGTAACAACAAAAGCAAACAGGTTTTGTTATTTGTAGGAAATTATGAAACCAGATTTTCAACACCGGTAAAAAATGATAAGGTACAGAACTTAAGAAAGAACCCAAAGTGAAAAACGTCTTACCTTGAAATTTAAAAGCAGGGGGAAAAATAAAGTGGAAATCTCTATGCCACAAGCAAATGACTGACTTTACTTGACCACTAACTGTGACCCAGTTTTGTCGGTAGACCATGTGACATGCACTTAGCTCTCCTGGACAGATAAATAAATAAATCTTGCAGCTCATGACTAGGTGTGGATTTCAGTTCGTGAAAGCCACACATAAATAACTTGGAAAGGTAGAATAAATGAGGAGAATATTAAATACAACAAAAACCTGCTACCCCAAAATACAAGAACCTATTCTGCCAAAAATATAGGTTCTTACACACGGGTTTTTACCGTACTCCTTTGGTGAGGAGAAAAATGGATTCAGTTTGTAGTACATACTAAAACTTTGAATTATAAAATGTATCATTCAAACTTTATAAACATATTTTTTTTATAGATATTCTTACCTAAACCAAGAAATTCTCGCATGTTATTCATTGCATTGTATGTCTCTCCAAGCCGCATATAAACCTCATTCATTCTTGGAAATACTCCACCAATGCTAGTTATATCAAACAATTTCTGAAAATGAGCAACAATGCTCTTTAGCTGATTTACTGATGGTTCTTCCTCTTGTCTTATTTCGGTTGGGCTGGTTCGATTATCCTGACAAAGAACCTCAACAGTTTCTTTTAGCTTCTGTATTGTTACTGGTGTATGGTCTTCCTGTTCAAGCTCGGCTTCCGTTTTCCATGGCATTAAGTGAGATGACAGTTGATTAATTGATGTTTGCAGATCCTAAATGTGTACAAACAGAGCAATGATATCAATATTAAAGTCAGGTACTCTTTGCACCACATTAACACAATGTTAATGCAACATTGTTTGTATTTCCAACTCCCTACCCTCATAAAGCAAACCAATCTATGGTTTCAACTTTGATCATCACTCTCTAATGTCTTGTCTCCAATGACCCCATTTCTTGAAGCCTGCACTTCCCATCGGAATAATTAAAGAGAGATTCCTTTGAGAAAAACAAATAGTCCAGGTACTTTGTTATCTAAGAATAGTTTTTATAACATAGCCTTAGCGAAGCGCGCGTTCTGATTGGCTAATACGCTTGATCTATTTCCCGGTGGGTCGCACGCTCATGTCAGCTTGTTTATTTGTACTTTTTCTCGGCAATTTTTTCCATCGATGTTGACACTTCGTAAAACATAATTCCTATTTTCCTTCTCCTAAAATATGGAAAAATCTAATAACTCTTCCGGAGATGAGGAATGTTATTCCTGTGAGCTACCAAATTTTGAGCTTAGGTTTTTTGCCGGGCGTCCACCTAAGAGATTTGCAAATTAAAGCGAGAAGGAGTTGAATCGGCTGGTTGAACAAAGGCACTCGGCACTTGGAGACCGACCAAAAAAACAACAAACTGGTCTGTATCAACCTTTCGAGGTTAGTAATGCATTGCGGGCAACTCATTAATTTTAAAATGAAGTGGAAAGGAAAACGTGACCCACAAACCTGCTACTGAATAAGAGCATCTCGACCCTGAAACAGCTCAAAAGCCAGGGATGTTTGTTCGCTTTCTTCTCCGTGACACTCGCTTCTAAGGAATGTCTGGTCCCATATTGTTCTTTTCTTTTGCCAAAGAGGCCGTGAAGGACAGAGAGCTCAGCCGCCAAAAGCTTCAACCATGTGCAGTTTGTTTTCAATTCTTCAGAAAACTGATCCAAATTTAAGCTTAACCAATTTTTGAGGAATGTTTTTATTTATTGCAATTTTCGTTTGTTGTCAGCTTGATATTTGGGTTAACTGAGGTCACTGAGCAGTTTGAAATTGTTTGTTTGCCCGAGAAACTATAGTAACTCCAAGAGAAATTTTGATGTGTCGCTTTGTCAGATTTTTGAATGAACATTTTCGCACCATTTATCGTGCTTTTGACTGCATGTAAGCCGGAAGAGATTCAAATATCTATCTCAAAAGTCTCAATGTTATAAAAGAAATGGTAAACGCGCAGTGTACAACTATCGAATTGTGGATGTACTTGGGAGGTTTGCTAAGCACTCAAGAAGCTAGAGTCGCACGAGGCGATAGCCTCGTGCGACTCTTACGCTTCTTTCGTGCTTAGCAGCCTCCCCCGTGCATCCATAACTTGATAGTTGCACCCTGCACGCTTACCATTTCATAATTCAGTTGTCACTGATCAATGACCAGTTCCCTTTATCAGGCATGCCTGCAGGCAATCATGGTAGTTGTATTCATTATCTTGGACTGGATATTTGTTTTGATGATTCCCTGCAGGCACATCTCATAGAGGGAATTGGCCATTGGAAAATAGCGGTAAATACTTTGAGTGTTGCAATAACTTACTTGAAGTCCAGAAAGTTCGGTGAGCCACAGCTTGAGAGTTGGAATGATATTCTGCCATGCTTTTTCACAGTGAAACTCATGTGAAATTGCACTATGGGACAGAACGTCAGCTGATAATTTGGGGCCATCTTTAGAGGATATCACATCCATGATATCCCTGATTAGCTGTTAAGAGAACAATGAAAGCAATTAAATACATTTCACAAAACAATAAGAATTAAACGGGGAAACATACAACAATCAAAGTGGTTATCAGCCACAGAACTTGCAAATAGATTGTCTGTAAACAGTGGCAATTTTGATGCAACTGCACTGAGCAGTTAATCGATAGGTCATATACCATTTATATCTTGAGCGAGAGATGAGAACAATAAATTCAAAATTCTTGAAGCCTATTATTTACAATCACATCTTAAGTTGTGTTCGCGAATTTCATATTCTTTGCGAAAACCAGTATAGGTATAGGAAAAACCATTCTACTACTCATGCACTTATTGACTCGTGTGACAAAATTTATTCTGCTTTGAATCCCAAAGAGCATGCAGTTGGGAATATTTTAGATCTTTCAAATACCTTCAATACGGTGAATCATGAAATACTTTTTGATAAATTATATCACCATGTATCTGTGGTCTGACATTAGCATGGGTGAAAGACTACTTTTCTGAGAGAAACAATTTGTTGAATATAATGGTTTAGGTTACCCTCTAATAAGATCTGCTGTGGGGTTCCACAAGGGTCAATTCTTGGGCCCTACTTTTATCTTATATATAAATTACTTAAATAATGCTTCAAAACTTGAGTCACTTGTATTCGCAGATGAAAAAGTGTTAAAAACTATGTTCTATCTCAGTGTGTTAACAAAAGTGTTAAAAACTATGTTTTATCTCAGCAATATCAAACGTAAGTTTCCACAATAAATGTGGAAACTTACTTAATTATTCTTACTTAATTATAACTTATATAAATTATAACTTACTTAATTATACTTAATTATTCTTCTACGTCTTTTCTTTACTAATCCGTCCTTCTACTCCCATGTTTTTTTTATGTTCAGTCAAACGAGATGGAGGCTAACTCGATAACCTCGCGGATTTATAAGCCTCCGTACACAAACTATATACCATCGTCACCTTTAATTGTTATATATGTATCTTATTTTCTTCTTTATGCTAATTGTAATTTCAAAATGTAAGTGCAAAATAAAGTGAAGTTGAAGTTGACAAATTTATTTATTTCACACACGGATCCCAATCTCTTAATCAATACTTTAAACTGTGAAATAATTTTTATTAGATAAATTGACATATTGATTTATGGCTAACAAAGTTTCCTTGAATTTACCTAAGACAAAAATTACGGAATTTAACCCTTGGCAAAAAAAAAGCATTCTCCAAACTTTTACATTGTTACCAATGGGAGGCCTATAGCACAGGTCACTGAAACTGTATTTCCTGGGGATAATTTTACATGTTAAGAATGAATCCACCAGAAGTTTGAGTAACAAGTGGACAAAAACTTTGTACCAAAATTATTTGCATCTCATCATATTGCAAACTTCTGTGTGACTGTTTTAAATATCTTCTCAAAAGAAATCATTTCTAACAACACCAAATGTCGAAAATAAATTTCGAAGTACATATGAAACACTTGAAACTACTGGTGAAATGAAACTGAAGATGAAATTTCACCTGTGTTTGCACAATTTCTCTGAACTTTGAAATTCATTTTCTCGAGTTCCTATGGGAAATTGATTTTGGTGTTATTTCAGGCAATTATCTACAGTTTTAGCTTTTAAAAAATCCAAAAAGGACTGTAATATACCTAACATTATTCTGGTACAAGATTTTTGTCCACCAAAAACTGAAATTACTCAAAGTCCTGCTGGATTTCTTCTTAGTTTAACTTAGAAGCTGTATCAATCTAGCTTAGCCCATAAAATAAATGAATCTATAGGTATAACTTTTAGATCCAGTTTTTCCTCTCAAGATCTTCTCTTTGTATGGTCTATAACTCAATGACACTTCCATATAACTTTTTTTGTAATTTAGTTTAGGGATCATGCTAAAACTCAAATCTAAAAAAAAAGTGTAATTTTGCACAAAACAAAAAAAAGTTAGGATAGTGAATAAGTTCAATTAAGATGCCCATATGGAAACTACGACACGACATTCATTTGATACATTAAGCTCAGTTTATGCTTTTGTTCTAGAACTCTACAAAATGTTATATTCTCCCTCAAAAGTTTGAAAATCTATTGGCGAGGAACAACCAAATCCACTGCTATAACACGAGGCATGCAAAATCCTTCCGTTTACCAAAGCCATGTCCGTCTTCCATCTATCAAAGCCATGTGGACTTCCGGTACAAAAGAGAGCTTATAACAATGCTCAACAAAGCTTACTACCTATCCGCCTCTTGGGAGTACTTCTCCAAAGAACACAAACGCTTGAAAGATCCTTTCCTCAAACTACAGTATCCTACACATCTTGTTGACTCCACCATTTCATAGTGTCTGACCTCAGTGACAAATACTATTGAAAGCAAAAATCACACTAACAGCCGACACTGTAAGAAGACAACTACGAGATTTGAGCAATAAAATTGGAAAAAACTATACAGCCTGTATTCACGAGTAGAAAAATTGAGGTTGATCTTAAGATGCCCGAGGAAAAGCCTCCGCTAATCAACCAGCAAAGCGTTGTTTATTTATTCAATTGTGGTTTGTGTGATGCAAGCTACATGTATGTCAGGAACACTTGCTGACACCTATTTCAACTTGTTGCCGAACATCAGGCTCAGCTGGGATCGGAAACCACATCAAGAAGGAACACAATATGGAGCTAAGGAACCTCAAAGATCATTTAACCATCTTAAAGAAATGCAGGAGTAAACTTGACTGTCTGATACATGAAATGTTATATATCAGACATCTTAAGGCAGTACGCAATACTCAGTCAGACTCAATCAGAGCAAAACTGTTTGTTTCATTAACATAGTTTCCTAACAGTCACATGTTTTCTTGTCACTTAACGTATTTTGCCACCTTATGCACATAATTGTAGGTTCTTTTATAACGCAAAAACTAAGCTACACATTTACTTGACAATGATATCTGACGATGTCGAAACGTCATATATTTCTTTGGCTAATAGTTGTGTTGAAAATATTAATGGCATTGTTGTTACTTTGTTCATGTTAACCATCTCATTTGTTAGGGAGAAGTATAATATACTTAGGTCGAGCGATTTCAGTGACTTCATAATTCATAGGTTGTCGGATCCATTTCCAGTACAAAGAGTGGGTTTAACGTCGTTTCTTCTTCTCATCAACGCATTTGTTTATATCGTTTTGCAATGTGGGCAGTTGTTTACAGTACCATAATTGTTGTGAAACACAGTTTTGGAATTCTACTCAATTATATTTCTGGTTGATAAATTTCATTCAAGGTTTTAATTATTTGAAACTTCATACAGCTCATAAATTTTGTGAAAAGTTTTCAAAGTTTATAATTGTGAGAAAAATCTCTCTCCATTGACCTTGTGAGGCATGTGAAAATAGTAATACCGATATTGAAGAACTGTTTAGTCATTTATGAAAGAGTTTAAGTGGAATATTTTGAGTTTTGAGTTGAATACCATCGACAAATACGATATCCTCGAGAGGGTGTTTTCGAAACAGCTACAGACAAAAGCTACTTTCCCCTGTTTTGAAAGAAAAAAAAACAAGAAAAGATGGGAGGACGAATATCAGAAACTTTATATCGCTGCAGAGGTGGATGCAAGTTAAGTGTATTGGCTTGTATTCAACGGACATGGCCTTCACACAACATAAACATGATAGATATTCCTTACAAACAAAAGGTAAAAAGGAAGTGGATAAAGAGATTTCCAAAAGGTATATGAAACTTCAAGCTGACCCGCGGTGAATTTGTGGCAGTGCGCATGATATTACGATTTCTATTGGTTAAAAAAATGGCGTCAATCAAGATTGTGCATGCACGTTATCGTGACAATGGCCATTTAAGCCAACACCTTCTGGAAATGCTTTATTAAGGCGTTCGTGTGTCTTGATAGAGACAATTACAATAGTGTCTCGATGGAAAACAATAGTCATTTTAAAACCATTTGAAAAATTTCTGCGCGCACTGGTCATGTGACCGATGGCATCAGTAAGACAAGGCTACATAGTGTGTATGTTCACAAAAATACCTATCAACATGCAATTCCTCGTTACCACTTGCTTCAGCCAAGAAAAGATACGCCCTTTGACCTAGTTTCCCACTTTTTCGCTCATGCAGGTAGCCTTGTTAATTTCAAGTGGCAGAAGTCACCTGGCCATTTCCAAACCTACAGCATAACCCTTTCAAATATGTGAAATGCTTTTTTAATTACTTAACACCTGTCCTCACAGGGAGATAAAACACATTTTTAGGCATAGTCACATAAATGATGAGGTCATCATGCCAAGTTTAGGAAAAATGTATACTTCAGGGTAAGTTTCATTCTCATATGATGTAGCATCCTCTCACACTTAAAACTGACAAAGTTATTTGATGTGCAAATTTTTCAGGTACAGAGGATGCTGGGAAGGTTCTTATTGTATTTAGAATATTGTTTCTAATTCTTGCGCAAAGGTTCTGAAGAAAATGATTCTAAAACCACAACTGCAACAGTTGACTCAAGGCATATGAGAAACAACTTCTTGCGACCAAACCTAGCAGCTTTCTTGTGCTTTTTGCAGCTTCAGGTTTATACATTTGCAACTTCTTCTGGTTTCTTACCGCTAGGATTCCTGTTTGCATGTTTTACAGCACAAGAGGTTGTTGCACCACTGTTAAGCTAATACTGTACATTATATACTGTTTATTGTACATTATTTTGGGCTGCACTATATATCACAAGTTTGGAAGATGTTGTATTTGTTGGGTGGTAAATGTGTTGAAGAAAAGCACCTTGTTAAAACGTCATTAACATTCACATACGGCATTCCTCATTACTAGTACAACAAGCCAATAATCCATCAAAATAATGCACATTACACTACAACTGATTGGCCCATGTAACTAAAGTTAGAATTTTTGTTTCCATTCTGCAACATGGTTTAGATGAAAATGAAACAACAAAATGAAAAAAATAAAAAGACAAACCTTTTCCATGGGAGGATAAGACTCTGCCATCATATTCATAGTGTTTATTTTTTTAGGAATATCTCTAAGGTCACTAACACGAAGTCCAACGCACACCGTCTAAAAAATGAGAAACAACAACAGTGGCCAAACATCCAATAACAATACAACCACATGAAAAACAATGAATGATTCAAACTATTAGCCAACAGGTTTTTAAAACACACCAAAGAGGGGACTTGTTGAATTCTCTTATTCATGGAATATATTTTAAAAATGTAGTAATAAGAGAACTTAGGAGAAGGTATGAGTACAGACAGTGGATGCTTTTTTATGACACACATGGCATGGCCTCCTAAAAAACTTACCTTTCTCATGAGTGCAGGTTATCTTTATTTGTGTATTACATACATCGTGATTATTTAATAATTGTACCATTAGGAATTGAAGCCTTTCTACAAGTTGATCCACTTTTATCACTCATACAGAAAAATGATGCAGTACTGTGCAAAAGTCGTGCAAATGAATTTTGTCGAAGTTCACCAAAATTCAACAAATCGCAGGTAAAATATACAATATTTCAAAATAAAAAATTGCGACAGAACATTTCTTAAAAGCATTCTAAGATTTAGAAAGCTAAAAAGCTGAATTAAAATTGACGACATTTTGACGTTACTGCAACGTCACTATCAAGTCAAAAATGTATAAAAACTAGGTTCTATAAATACTACATGTAAGACAAACAATAAGCGATGAAAAAAATCTACAAGTGAAACAAGCCCGACACCTTTTTCAACGTGTTGCTGAACACAAACATTCGGCAATCGGCAAGCGTTTTCATGAAGCGTATGGTAGGAGCGATCTTTTGAATGAGCCATTTCAAGATTCTGAGAAAGTGCCAATGCAAATTCAAACCTAACTTGAACGTCCAAATGGACTCCATACGTGCGAAACTCTTTGTTTAACTTGTGAATTATTTTCATCACTTATTGTTTGTCTTAGTATTTACAGAAGCTAGTGTTTATACATTTTTGACTTGATAATGACGTTACGGTAATGTCGAAACGTCGTCGATTTTAATTCAGCTTTTTAGCTTTTTAAATCTTAGAATGCTTTTAAGAAACTTTCTGTGGCAATTTTTTATTGTCAAATGTTTTTCTAAGTCACTTCTTTTCCGAGTATTTCAAAAGAAACAAAATTCCTGCAAACTTTAAACAAAAGTTTAAGTCAGTTGTGTGAATCAATAGCAAATTTCCAAGTTGCCAATGAACGTTCCAATGAAATATTTGTGATACTGCACAGATTCCGTAAAACATTTTTTAAAGAGTATGAGGGAGTCCGAAGAATCTCTTAACGAGAAGAGAATATATCAACAACAACAATCTTTATTTCGTGCCCAGAAAAATTTTATGCTTTAGTACAATACATGTACATCAAGGGCACTTAGGGGCACCTACAAAGAGCATTTCAGTCACACGAGGTCACACTTGGCTACAAGCCTTTCAATTCTCCGAGATCGTAATTAGTGCATGTTAAGGACAAAACAGAAAACCTTAAAAAGTGCAGAACAGTGTATCACATCCATTCTGAACAATGTGACAAAGAATATTTTGGTGAAACGTCTCGTTTATTAGGAACTAGAGTAAACGAACATCTTTCAAGGAATTCGTCAGCTGTTCATGAACATTGCCAGCTCACGGGACATTCAGTGGATTCCAGCGAAACAAAAGTTCTTGCCACAGAAAGCAAAACGTCCAAATGTCACATAAGGGAGGCAATTGGGATCTGGTTACAAAAGTCCTCTTTGAATAGAGACAGTGCCTTAAAATTAGGTAACATCTATGACATCATTTCAACCTCCTAGCCTCTAGACCCTAAAAAAATATGATACAACTGTGGTTAACATTCACATTTTTCTTGTGGCTGATGAAGTTCGGCTGAGTCAGACAAAAAATTCCACTTAAAAAGAAAATTGTGCTCTGAGCAGAGGAATTATTTATATTTTTATTATTGTATTGTAAGTAGAGTATAGTATTGTTCGTAGCACAAGTAACCCACATTGTAAGTAAGAAATGTAAGTAATGTATTGTAAGTAGAGTATTGTTAGTGGTGCTAGTAATCTTATTGAAAGTAGTGTATTTAATTGTTTGTTTGGCAGTTAAAAGAAACAATAGGAAAAACGATGTTGATTATTTTCAATTCTTGTGATCTTTTTGGCCATTATTTGTGGAATACAAAAACAAAATTCGTGCACATCACTTTTGCACAGTACTGTAATATGACAAACTTGACGATGCAACTGTCTTTCTTTCAGTGTTTGACCCTTGTAAACCCTTATGGGAGACAATTGACTATCTGAATTAGTGAAACCATTCTTTAGCATCGTTCAGCTTGCTTTGCAAGTTGCACGGTTTTGTCTTTGTATCAATAAAACATGTCTCTGACATACATTCTGAGAATCCACTTAACACAGACCCCAGATCATACAGACACTTTGATGTGCATCTAAACTGGGTTCCACTACACATGCCTTTTTTTAAATTTACATAGTAGGGTAATTGGGCATAGTGATTTAGTTGAACTGTTAATATCATATGTATGTTCTTTGGTGATAATAAAATCGACTTTTAAATACTGTTATTACCTTTAAATGTTCTCGGCAAACATCAATGGGTAAAAATTCAATATCTTCAATCTAAAAGGTACAATTATGGTGGCAGCAGTATAAACCATATAATATTTTATTCTATATAATATTTTAATCACATTACAGCGTAGTTACAGTAACCTGGCTCAATTAAATAATAATAATTAAAAAAATACATAATGACAATCAGTTTTCAGGACACTAAGGTTGAATTACAACATAAGTGTTGCAAACAATCATAGGCAGACAAAAACAGAAAATCACAAGCTTTGTCATCAGAACAGAACAGCAAAAGAAAGGAATAAATAAAATGTGGTTACAAACACGGAGGGAAACAGAAAAATACGTCTGCTATGAGCACTTGTGGGCTTAAGCTTAGTCTGATTCCATTCGGTTGGATTGTTTTTAAATGTCAGTATCTGGGAGTTGAATTGCTACAAGTGAGAAGGCAATCACTGGAAAGATAAAGGTGTGATAAAGGTGTGGTAATAGGTGAATTAGGTACCATAGATTTTTTATCAGTGGTATCAACATGGACAAGTCGTTACAAATTTTAAGTGGGAAATTTGTTGTAGAATACTATTTACTTACTTACTCTAACCTCTTATAAGAACTCTTTATTCAGCTCTTAGTCCCTATGGGACTTAAGACAACAACAATCTCTCTTCATTTAGCCCTATTTTATGCAGCATGTTGTGCCTTGTCCCATGCGAGTTTTAACTTTCTGAGCTCAGCACTGTTTACTCATGTCAAGTGAACTTGTACATGTAGTGTCAAGATGGTTTGCTGCAGTTATGACTAAGCCTGTTACATAACAACATCAACAGCTGAGTCCAACATGCACCTTGGTAATGGTGTTGAAGTGTATATTGAAGTTCTAATAAGTTCTTGCCATGACCGTAACAAAAATATTGACAGGCTGAATACTGATAATCAATTTGCATGCACAATAATCAATTTGCATGCATGATACACTTTGTATGCTTCCTATCATTGACTGTTGCAAAGTTACCAGTGCGCACTGCACGATGTATTTTGCATAATATTTCTATAGTAGACTAATAGTAATCAGTAGACTAGTAGAAATCAGTGATAAGAAAATGCATTTGAACAAAAGGGGCAGGGTACCTTTTATGGGTCCAAATCTGTGGTTTGGTAAGGTGAAATCGAATGTGTTATACTGAGTTGTCTCAGTAACTTAAGGCCTATAATCCGGAAAAAATATGAGGAAGTAGTGTAGTTAAACTGGTACCTCTTGTGGGTAAAACGAATTTGAGCTGGGCCCACAAAGGGGGATTGACATTAGTTTCTGGTACCTTTTAGGGATTTTGTTCAAATTTTCCATGACAACTGCTGTCAATTACATGCTTGAGTCCTCCCTTTTGGGGGCTGGGCAAAAGAATATGTGTTGAAATCTTTGTGAAATAGGGTAAGGGAGACAATGAATCATTATCAAACATTACAAACAAAACCTTCACTTCTTTCCAAGACAATTTATTAGTTTGAAACAAAATTGCTAGTCATGTCATAGTTTTTGCTTGATGCCACATGAAATAAAAAGGACATTGGAAAATCTCATTGTTAACACGTCCTCAAATAATAACCAACTGTGAAATGAGAGAAGTGAAACACGAGAACCATGTGACAGCACCCAGACAATGGTGAAAAGCAATACTCACATAAAGGCAGTTATATTGTAGTAATGATCGAAGCCACCTCACAACAACCATATTTTTAACAGAGATCAGCAGAAAGTACATCGCATCACATAATCGTGGGGCTGAATAAAAACTAACAACTGGAGAAAACAACAGGCAAGTTTATTCTACTCTTCTATTTCTGTTTATAAAAGGCTAAGTTACTAAAATTTTAAAAACCAAAACGTTTTCGACCGTACAGTCATCATCAGTGGTACATGATGGAAATTTACATACAACTTGGTTTTGTTCGATTAAGTTATTCTCGAGGGAAACAGTTTCACAATGACAGAATGTGCTTGCTCATTTAGGGTTGGTTTGCAATTAGCTGGCCTTCCATTATTTTCCTCTGAAAATGGTTTTCTCAATGCACGCAATGTTCCACGTGTATGCGTGGGTTGGGTGTTTTGCAAGGTGACAGGCCGGTTCGGAGTTGTTAGACTTGTTCTTGTGTTCTGCCTTTCATACTGCGAAGTTTCTGTTTGCTCCCCCAATGTAGGTTTCGCCACATGTGCACTCGGCATGATAGATGACATTTGATTTGTGCCGGTTTTTATCGCTGAGATTGAATAAACTTTTGATTTTCCTTGTTTGCCACAAGATGATAAACATAAATCGCCTGTCTGTCAGAGTATTCAAGTAGTAGGTGGTGGATTGAATAGATACTGGCAAATTTTGAGGCCTTTTGCACGCTTGCTGACTCCCAAAGCGTCCCCTGCGAGCTGGGCAAAAGGGCTAAAAATTTGCCAGGAGTATCTATTCAATCCACCACCTACTACTGTCACTCCCAACTCCACTTGGGAGATTTTTGTCGGTCACGTGACATGATCATTGGACTTTAGTCGCCATGTGTTCAAGTAAGCGAGTGTTTTGAATCGCAGGAGTTTGTCAAAAGTTGTTATTGTGCCGTTCACTTAGCTCGAAGCAAACAGTTCAGTAAGTTAACATTTCGCCTTTGCTATTCAAAGAAACATTTGGAACTTAATACCTTTTTGTAATTTTCAGAAAACCTCACTCTCATGTATACATTCATACACGTATGCCTTCGATGGAAGCGAAGAGTTTTATTCAAGTTGTTGTGACTTTGTTCCATTGACTGAGGCCGTTCGGTCAATGTGTGCCTTTTGAGCTTGAGCCCATTCTGAACTGTGAGTTTTTGACGTTTGTTTTGAGAAGAAATAAAGACAGGTACTACGGTACTAACAGTTTTCGAACTTAGCGCTTTGTTTTGTTGACCGAAACATTTGTGTAAACATGTCTACCCATTCATGTCCTGAGGCGGGAACAGGAGCTCGATTGAAAATGTATTAAAGAAGGAGAAATGGAGAAGAGGATTGTGCTGAAAGAGCCGAGCAGTTAAAGAATCAAAGGCTGGATTAATTGGAGCATCGAAGAAGCTGAGAGGTGAAATTTGGCCTTTGTTAACTGAAGATGAAAGGAATTTGCCATCGGTGGATTTGGCTGCAAAAACTTGCATCTTATGACGAGATATGGAGGAAATTTGTGAATGCTCACAGGTGTTTTATGGAAATAGTGGAATCAGAACCTGAAAAACGGAGAGCTCAGGTTATGCAGGACGAGGAATTAGCGAGGAAAATGGAATTGGATGGCGCCGTAAAACGACTCCGCCGCTTGTCTGGTTCAGAGTCCATATTTAGCCTAACGTCTGTGAGGCAACTCGAGATCGAACCTGGAAGGAAGAGTGCTGGAATCATGAGTACTGCACTGAAATCTAGTTATGTTAGTGGTAGTGGTAGCATCGAGGCTTGAAGAGAGCAGATGGCTTTAGCTAAACTTAATGTGGAGCATTTGAAAAGAAAACAAGAACTTGAGCGCAAATTAACTGAACTTAATTATGCACGAGAATTAATGGAGGCTGTAATGGAAGCCGAGAGAGCCTATGTAAGCTTTAGTGTGCTTGATCAAGAAATCAGGGCTGGAAGGGTTAAGGGAACCAGTTCAATTGTCAAAAAGGAAAAAAACCACCAGCTTTGGAACTAATAGGCCATGAAGAAAATGTTGTAGAGCAGACAGATGTGAAATTGGAAATGAAGTCTCCAAAACAAGATACCAGTCCAGAGCCAGCTTCCTCTGAATCTATGTTGAAATTACCAATTGCAAAAGTGAGTGAGCAACCAGTAGCACCTTTATAAGAAAATATTATCACCTTATCTGAAATTGAAAGGGAACGTGAACTACCACCCCCAACCCAGAGCATTCAGCAAGAGGGAAGGTCAGACCAAGTGCAAATGCCAGCTAATTTGGATACTGGGAAAAAGATAGTTAAGACCTTGTGCCAAGTGATGAACACCCCCAAGATAGAATATATGCACTTTGATGGACACCCAATTAAATATGTATCATTCATGAGGAATTTTGAAACTTGTTTAGAAGATGATGCTGACAATTCTAGAAACCTNAGATGGCTTTAGCTAAACTTAATGTGGAGCATTTGAAAAGAAAACAAGAACTTGAGCGCAAATTAACTGAGCTTAATTATGCACGAGAATTAATGGAGGCCGAAATGGAAGCCGAGAGAGCCTATGTAAGTTTAAGTGTGCTTGATCAAGAAATCGGGGCCGGAAGGGTTAAGGTAACCAGCTCAATTGTCAAAGGGGGAAAAAAATCCACCAGCTTTGGAGCTAATAGGCCATGAAGAAAATGTTGTAGAGCAGACAGATGTGAAATTGGAAATGAAGTCTCCAAGACAAGATACCAGTCCAGAGCCAGCTTCCTCTGAATCTATGCTGAAATTACCAATTGCATAAGTGAGTGAGCAACCAGTAGCACCTCCACAAGAAATTTTATCACCTTATCTGAAATTGAAAGCGAATGTGAACTACCACCCCCAACCCAGCTGCAGAGTATTCAGCGACAGGAAAGGTCAGAGCAAGTGCAAATGCCAGCTAATTTGGATACTGAGGAAAAGATAGTTACGACCTTGTGCCAAGTCATGAACACCCCTAGGATAGAATATATGCACTCTGATGGAGACCCAATTAACTATGTATCATTCATGCGGAATTTTGAAACTTGTTTAGAAGATGATGCTGACAATTCTAGAAACGTGCAGTTTCTTATCCAACATTGCACGGGCAAGGCCAGAGATGCCATTGAAAGTTGTGTCAACTTGCCAGTTTCAGAGGGTTAAGAGTCTGCAAAGAAAACCCTGGAGGAAAACTTTGGTCTGCCTTGTGTTATTGCAAAGGCTCATTTAAAGTAATTCGAACATTTACCACCATTAAAGGTCAGCACTAGGTCAACACTGTTAGAGTTTGCAAGGCATCTCGAGATAGCAGAAAGGACCCTCAGGGGAATGGGACCCGAATTCGTCAGTGACTTGAACCACAC